AAAGGTTCACATTACAATCTTTACGCGTATTACATGAATCTTTTCTCTTTTTGTCTTCTATTAGTATGAGCACATACAATATAAATTTTTTGAAGATCTTTCTGTCGGTTGTTTGAGATACAAGAGACGAAAAGTGTCTCGCAGTAAGTCTAGTTGGTTTAGAACCCAGTATACTGTATAAAGCGCTAAGACATAAAGTCGTTACTGACAACACGTACATTTAAGGGCAAAGTATGCAAAAAAACTTTGCTTTAATATAACTAAGGATATTTTTCTCTTACTAAATTTTGAAATCGTAAATTTACGGGATTCGCCACCAGAGGGTTAAGCTTAACATGAAAGAGAAAAAAAAATGAGTTATGAAATTATTCGATAATTGGAAAAAAAGCAAGAAATAAATGATAGCGTTAAATATGAATATTTTCAATGAACAAAATCGAATCAGTTAGCTCAATTATTAAGCGGCGGATGAATTCAGATTGTTGACGACAAAAAAGTGTTTGTGAAGATAACAGCTTTGTTCACATTCATCTTTACCGAAAATAATTCTTTGCAAAGAAATAATCATTAGTCTTCTGTTCCCGAAACCCATGTCAAAGTTTACATGTTCTTATTGTTTTTCTTTTTAAGTACGATACAAAACAAATATGCTCAATAGACTTTTAAAGTATTTATCATGCTAGCGTTTCTTATCTAAAGAGAAGAATTCTGGATTTTTTGTCGTCTATTGTGACAAAACATCACTTTTCTTATCTAAGATTTTATATTCATTAGTAAAGTCTTTTTTTTGTTTTTGTTTTAACCGTAATTATAACAATATAACCTGCTTTCGTTTTAACCTATGTGTACTTTTTTTTGTAACAAGTGCATTTTTTGTTTGATGTAAAATTGATTTTATCGTAATGAAGCTTTGAAACACTAGCAAGGTTCCTAAATGTTTTACGCTGTGAGAAAGCGAACTGAAAATTCGGTGAACAGTCTGAACATTTTTTTCGAATAGTTTTTCATTCGATCTTCTAGTAAATATAAAACAAAGTATAATAAAATTATAAACTGTCTACGAGAAGTTTTTTGGTAGAAAATTTCGTGATATCAGTTTCTGTCAGAGATAAAGATAAGAGTCCTAAAACCTTCTTTCTGTCAATATTTTTCATTAGATTGCAAAAAAATCTTGAAAAAATTATCTACAATGCTCGCAGAAAGTTCGACATTTTTGCGAAGGAATATCTTGTTCTCTCCACTATATTATCTTGGAGCCTGAGCACGAATTATATTACGTAATATGATTTGAAAACGAAGGCATACATTTAAATCAAATTATTAAAAGTGTCCTCGAAGAAATTTTCTATTTAATTTAAGAAGACCAAATTCACAAGCATAATATGGAAAGCCTGGATTAAGTTCTCGATGATAAATGACATAATTTTGAGAATTGAATAAATAAAATAAAGCATTTGTTTCAATTATTCGGTCACGATCAAGATGAACTTCCTGAGAAAATAAAACAGTATGAAATTGAAAGGTCTCGAAGGATTTTTTTTTCCTTACAATAAGAATTTGTCGAATATAAACAGGTTTGAAAATTTGATTAATAGCATTATTAGAAAAAAACGTATGAAGTAATACATATTCACCATATTCAATATCAATTTTAAGTATATCTATCTCAAAATTTGTTTGATTAAGTTCAGTCATAAGTTGACGCAATGTTTTTGTTTGATTTTGTCCATTACCTAATTTTACTTGATGAAATCTGCAAACATCATTGGGACATTGAAAGTATCTCATATCAATCGTATGGATGGAACAATGAGGCAACAATTTATGCACGGCTTCTTCAAATTGAAAATTTCCATCAGAACCCAATGAATATATAAGACATGGTGACTTCGATTTCAAATATGCTATTTCACATGCCTAAAATTAAAGAAATTTCACATGACTAGTAATAATTGCTTTTAGAGAATTCAGTTTTGTATACAGAAAATTCATTACATATTGTATTGAATAAGCAATACTATTATTTAAGTTCTCAAAAAAGTATAGCTAGAATAGTCATTGTATATTATTTGACAACACATCTTTTCGAATGTTTTTATAGGTGAATGTTCCATTTAACAGCTATATATGATTTTTAATTGAATATGTAATTGTCATATTCAACTTGACATTATTATTAATAATCTGTTAAAAACATAATTTGTATTTTACAAATTGGAATTCATTGAGCAATAAAAAAGTTGTTATATTTATTACAAATTACTTTCTTCATTTTGTAAAATGATATAAGACGAAGCATATTCAATTGTTGAACATCATTTTACTTTATATTTTAATCAAGAGTAAATGTTTGTATAAGACGAAAACAATTCTATAATGTTTGTACGAATGAACCAATATTTAATATACTTTATGCAAATTCTTCTCTACTACATTGAGGGTAGAAACTTGAAACTTATATTAATGCTTTATCTATGAAAAGAAACTAATCTTTACACTAAATACTTTACATGATAGAGTGAAGTCAAAAAGTAATGAGAAAACTGAATATTTTTTTAAACATGGTCAGGTAATGGAAGTAACGTTTTATAGAAATTTCTCTTATCTTTTTGATACTAACCGATAGCTAAAATTATTAAAGAGAAATGTCGTCCTGTACGTGAAAATGCTTTCTCTTTCGACACTACTCAATCATATAAACTAGAAAGATGAACGATTGACATGATCGATAACGTTCGATCGCTTCAAATATATCTGAGTTGCCTATGTCGAAATAAAAGATTTCAATAAAAGCACTGCCATTTAAACACTGATCTATATCGAGTCACTCGCATGGAAGTACCAATCTATCAAATATAGTAGCTCTCAATAGACTATACGAAGGAGAAATGCACTGAATAAAAATGAAAAAACTGCAAGGAAGGAATCTGTGATTGATGTGAGGAAAAGACAAAAGTGGCACTATCATTTAACGAATGCATGATTGATTGGGTGAATCATGGAAACGAATGAGATAGTTAATCAAAATAGTACAAGAATAAAAAAATTAACCTGATAAGAACTGAGAAGAAAAAAATGAAAAATACATTTGAACCTGTTCATAAACGGCTGGATCATTCAAAACATTGTTTTCGAACTTGAAACATTTTCTCAGAATGGCGACGCGATAATAGTAAAAATTCTTTCAAACCAGGATATTCTGCTCATTATATTATTCGAAAACAGACGACGATGCATGAAAACTTAAAACATTCTGTTAACATACGTTAGACAAATAAAATTCATCAAAATATTTTTTTTAATTTCAATGGCTCCATAATGAATTTAAATTT